TACAAGAATTTGGCAATTTTGGAACAACTGAAATAATGGCAAGTGAGAATTAAGGGAGAAATATGGACCCCTGAAACAGGACTCCTGCTAATACTGCTAGCTACCGTGTATTCAAGTGCTTTAAGACAATCACAGAGAATTGAATGATAGAGGCAAAGTCACTGCCTGAAAACCAAGTGCATTACATTTTGATACCTGCTACATATCCCCAGAATAAGACTCCCCCAAATGATTAGTAATTATCAATGAAAGGACCCAGAATTATGACCATTCACTTGGCTGCACTTTCTCTGCTTTTTGTTTGTTTGTTTTTTGGGTTTTTTTTTTTTTTTTTGAGACACAGTCTCACTTTGTCACCCTTGGTAAAGTGCTGTGGCGTCATAGCTCATAGCAACCTCAAACTCTTGGGCGCAAGCGATTCTCTTGCCTCAGCCTCCCAAGTAGCTAGTGCTACACGTGCCTGCCACAATGCCTGGCTATTTTTAGAGGCAGGGGTCTTGCTCTGGCTCAGGCTGGTCTCAAACCAGTGAGCTCAGTCAATCCACCCGCTCAGCCTCCCAGAGGTGCTGGGATTATAGGCATGAGTCATTGCGCCCAGCACACTTTCTATGTCTTAAAGACTATCCCAATCAAATATCTTAATAAGACACAAATGTTTAAAACTTCTAGCAAGTATCATAAAAGATGAAGGAAATTTTAATATATCTCTGTGTCTGTTTCATTATCATTTATACATATGTTTATGAACATATATATTATATATATATTTATATATTTCCTGGATACTCATTGATACATATGTGTATACACACACACACACATTGGGTGTCCATAAAATTCGTGGGCAATTTAAAATAGTTGTCTAAATGCTATGTCCATACTACATAGTATCCTCGAACAGTTTGAGGGGTTTTCCCTGTTTTGGGTTCTTGTTTTTACATGATCTCGCTCTATTCCACTGAGTTGTCTATTTATGCAAAGCACCAGTTTTTTGACATATAAACAGAATGTCGAAAACACTTTTCCCTCAGTAAAACTTGGTTATATTTTACACACACACACACAGGCGCTGTGACTTCTCTCTTTGTCATGAATGTTTCTTCACCAAAGAGCTCACAAGGGTGAATGTGTAATCATGTTGTACGCATCACTGTGTGAGTCACATGTGTAGATGCTGTGTTCGTAAATTCTGACGGCAGAAATGCAAAGAGAAAACAACAATATTAAGTCTTTAACTCTTAAAATACATTCTTCGTTCATTCAGCAACTACTAAGTTTAAATTATGTGCTATGTAATGAGCTATTCTATAATAAATGCAGCTACGAACAGATGGTTGCTGAAGCAGTAAGATGAATCTCGTGTGTGTGTGTGTGTGTGTGTGTGTGCGCGCAAAACGTAGCCCAGTTTTATTGAGGGAAAAGTGTTTTCTACATCAGGAGTCTGTTTACACATCGAGTCAATTTTGGATGACCTGAAACCACAAAGCTTTATAATTAAGTCATTGTATGGAAAGCAAGGGGTATATGGAACAAGGACATTTCCATCAGTCAAAATTAAGAAAGAACGTTACTAAGAAAAAGTGAGAGGAAGCAGAAACACCCAGCTGATGGGATCGTCCTAAGTTCTTAGGGTGAGGGCGGAGTGGTGAAAACATCCAGATAGACTTGAGAGGACACCCCGGGATGAAAAGGACCTGCTCTTTCCTCTCTGGATAGAGAGTAAAGTGGCAAGACCCTCCAAAAATCTCTGCGTTCAGTGTGGTGCCATGTCCAGCGAGATCTTAGGGCTTCTCCGGCAGCCCAACCCAGCCAGAGAAGGGTGTGGCAGAACCTTCCTGAACAGTGCACAAGGCAAATTGCTGCAGAGAACTTGCCTGAGAGCATCTGGTACCTGAGGGTTGAGGCAGAAGTGCTAAGAGCCCCAGGAGCTAGGATGACTGTGAGAAAGGACAAAGGCTAACACAGAAAATAAGAACCCGGAAAGCAGAGATGAACAGTGCAAGTTGGTGCCGGAATGAATCCAAAACAATACAGGTGAGAGGAGTCACAGGGTCCCAGAGGTGAGGTTTCCCCACTGCACCTGCCCTGGGCTCCCCGCACTTCGATTCTACACTGACGAGTGAGTGAGATAAGAAACACCTTTGGAAATATGACTGAAAATGTAGAATTGAGGAGCTGAACTTCAAATTGACTGGCTATTTACCCAAAAAAGATTGAATGGAATCCAGAGGGGATGAGAAATGAGTGAGTTACCTTAAACTGGTGCCCTGACAACCTCCACAGCATTGCAAAAAGCGCAAAGACCCAGTTACAGAAAATACAGATCAGGGCACGTTTTATACGACATCTAAATTGCAGCGTAGAAAATTCCAGCCTGGTGTATTCTTAAGAGGTAGTGGGATATACCTAAGTTCCTTTTCTTACTCCCAGTGAATCCTGCTCCTTTTATACGTTTCAGAATTGAAAGTAGACAACTAGAATTACGGCTACATTCCTAGAGCCAGTGGCTGCTATTTTCCATCACAGTTCATACCCAGCTAGAGAAAAACGAGGTAAACAGCAGTGCTTAAAATGCTCCCTCTGTGAGTGTCTAGGTGTGCTGTGCTTTGTGCTGCAATAAAAGCAGCAGGAGGCCCCTGGGCGGGAAGCACCTGTGCTGTGTAGAGGAACAGGAAGCTTCTCCCAGTGTAGGGCTGGGAACTTCAGCCAGAAAAATCTTGATTCTGACTTGATTAACCATTTTCATGTACTTTTTTTTTTTTTCTAACTTGGTAAACGGTGTTAAAAAAAAAAACTAATCTAAGAGTAATCACCCCTGATTCAAAAATCAAGCCATCATTGATTTATCTCTCTTCCTCATCCCCACAGCCCATCAATCACTAAGTCCTGTTAGCCCTGATCCCCAAATGGAGTTCAAAGCTGCCCTCTTCTCTCCTCCGTGGCCACCACCATCTTGTGACCGCACTGGTAAAACAGAGTCCTACCTAGTATTCCTGCTGACATTTTTGTTCCCTCAAAGTCATTCTCTGAAAGAATTCAAAGTGCTTGAAAGTCTTCATTAATTCCAATAATAGTTAAAATGGAAACCAAACCATTGCCTGACTTCTGAATTGTGTGCATCTCCTTCCCAGTCTCACTGTCCACTGGTTCTCTAATCTCCAGCACCCTGACATGACCTTGTCATGCAGATCACTGGATCCACGCCTCTTCTTTGAAGAAGAGAATTTCCTGGAGGATTCCATCAAAAGTAACCCTGTTCCCCCGATGGTCCTCTATTTCTTTGCTTATGGGTAGATAGCTCAGTTATCTCTTTAGAATGTGAGCTCCTAGAGGTCGAGAGTCTTACGTATGCCTTATTCACAGGGATAAGGGTTCTCTAACAACATGGCTGAGTGGCTCAGCGCCTGTGGCTCAAGTGGCTAAGGTGCCAGCCATATACACCCAAGGTGGCCAGTTCGAATCCAGTCTGGGCCCACCAAACCACAATGACGGCTGCAACCAAAAAATAGTCAGGCATTGTGGCTGTTGCCTGTGCTCCTAGCTACTTGGGAGGCTAAAACAGGAGACTCGCTTGAGCCCAGGAGTTGGAGGTTGCTGTGAGCTATAATGCCATGGCACTCTACCCAGGGGGACAGCTTGAGGCTCCTGTCTCTAAAATAAACAAACAAACAAACAAAAAAAAGTGGCTGAGTGAATGAATAAATGAATGGGTGGACGGGGAGGGTGACGGAGGCAAAGGGTCACCTTCCTCCTGCAGCTGCTCCTTCACTGGCATCTCTTACCACACTCCCAATTTCATCATGCCTATGCCAAATGACCAGGAATCGGGCAATGAAAAACAGAAAGGAGCGTCTTGAAGAAAAGTGTGCAAAGGGTTTAAGGAAGAATTGGAGAAAGAAAAGTCTTAATTTAGGAAACAGAATAAAAGTGGACTTCCTTAAAATATCATAGCCTCTCAATGCTGGCCCTTTCAATCAGAAAATCAAAAGATTTTGATTTTCAATCAGAAAAATGACTATGTTTTGTAAGGTATTGTACAAATTGTATTTATTGTATTTTCTTTTTTTTTTTTTTTGACAGTCTCATTATGTCACCCTTGGTAGAGTGCTGTGGTGTCACAGCTCACAGCAACTTCCAACTCTTGGGTTTAAGTGATTCTCTTGCCTCAGCCTCCCAAGTAGCTGGCACTAAGGTGCCCACCACAATGTCCAGCTATTTTTTTGTTGTAGCTGTCATTGTTGTTTGGCAGGCCTGGGCTGGGTTTGAACCTGCCAGCAGCCCCAGTGTATGTGGTCAGTGCTCTAGGCGCTCAGCTATAGGCACCAGCCACAAATTGTGTTTTCTGAATTGAAATACTTGAAGTCCACTGGAAAACATGTTATATAACTGATAAATCCTCATAAGAGGGCTTACACTAAACACAAGTAAAGATTTCAATGTTTTTATGGAACAGTGTGGTTGTGTTGTTAACTGGCAAAAGGTGCACTGGAGGATTTCATCTTTTTCAGAAATCAAAGGATAAATAGGCAATCAGGGTGAAGGTGATCAGAAAAAATAAATAAATATTCTATTTATAGTTCAATGGAAAAATGACCCTAAATAATAGATTTCTGGGAAAAAATATTTCTTTCACTTGAATTTTACTTAAAATTATTCTGTTCAAATAAACAAAAAGATCGAATAGAGAATATTTGTGTAAAAGTTTAGAAAGGCTTAAAATTATGTGCTTGGATTCATATAAAATTGATCAATGAATGATTTTTAAGAGTAGAAATTTAGTATAATTATGCATAACACATCATCTTTTGTTCCATTTGAAAAAACATATTATTTGATTTGAACTATGAAAAACTTGTTTCTTGATAAAAACATATTAACTAGCTTATTAATAATCATGTTCTTAATGTAGCATAACATTCTGAAATAAACCTACATTCCTATTATGTTACAGATTAATATTTGTTCTCAGAACTATTTCCAAAAAAAAAACACATTCTTACCAGACATAAACTGTGTAATAGAGGATAATTCCATTTGGCTCCAGGGGTGGTTGCCATGACAACTTCACAGTGACACCAGACAACTGTTTTACAGAGAAATCTTGAGGAGGAGAATCAGGAGCTGAAATATTAGGGTACAGAATAATGTATTTTATGAACTATATGTAAGAAAAGGTTAAAATAAACATGCACATAATTTTTTATTAGAAACTTTCTGGTAAAGGAATCGGGTCTAGCGTTTTTCTCCATGGGCACAAGAGATTCATTGTTGACTCTCACACTGAGATGATAAGGAAGATTTTGCATGGTGGTGTTAAAACATCTGTTTCTGTGATTCAATGGAAAAAAGTATTTCATGAGAAAACAGAACAAGGGGTATGTCACCGTGACTCACCTACTGTTCAAACACGTATTGACAAATTGTTATCCTCTAATAAAAACAAAAACTTATGGGAGTGAATGAATCTACAGGAAAAGACCTCCCTAGACAATAAGAAGACGTGGGGGGAAAAAATCACATATCCATTAAGTGAGAAAGTGATAAACATGGCCTTGGGAGGGTAGTGAAAATGCCTGACCTCATAAATGAAAACTACATTCTCCAGTTTCATTTGTGTCATTACACTGTAAAGTAATATCAAAATCTGCTCGCTGAGTCTTCACAATGGAATGGTTTACAAAGGAAACACCCGGGTAGCCCATAAACGAGAAACCACTTCAGTATCTGCTTGTAATTCTGCTTCCCTAATATAAGAAAACAATACTTTAGCTATTCTGCATTGAATAAACATTGGACAAACTACGGAGAACGAGGTAGCCAAGTTTTTATTTCCTTGCAGATAGAACATGTAGAATGGCATTTGTCAGGTGCTGTGTAACAGCACATATCTTAAAATACTGAAATATAATTTTTTGCATATAAAGTTTAACACTAAAAACTGGTTTGTTATATTATGTGAAGGAAAAGGACTCGTAGGTAGCTCATAGAAATTCAGAAAACTTGTTTAGATTTTTAAAGAGTGTTAATTTATATATAGTTCATGTATAAGTCACTATTTCCAGTAATTTGGAGAAAATGCTATTTTTTTTATTCTCTGCGTACTCTCAGCCGCAGTTGTATGTATACTCACGTTACGTGTCTTTTTTTTTCATTATTTTAGTAACAATAACTTTTGAAAAAGAAATTTATAAAGCAGAGAAAGGTTTATGAGGCAAATTCTAAGAAATAATGGTGACAGTTGTATTTGGTATTTTCACTGGCACTCCAATAAAAATGCTATCAAAATATTGATTATCGAAAGAATCCATATATCATTTGGAGATGCCTGTTTCCCCAGATATGAATTACCTCTGAAAACTCTTTCATTTTTCAAAGCAAAAACCAATAAATATTTTTCCTAGCTTCTTTGTAAAATCTAACTGTTGTTTATTGTTTGAAAAAAAAAAGACTTCAATCAAAAATAGCACTAATTTAGAAATCAGCATGCTGGGACTAAGCATTTCTATTCTATTCTATAAAATTTCTTAAGATGCTTGTGTGGAACATCAGATAATTCTTGGTATTTTTGTAAGTTAAACTTCAGTATATCTTGGACTTCTTTCTTTTTTATACAAATTACCATGTCTCCCTTAACAAGATCTCATGTATCTACTGTAGTAGACTAAGTTTTAGTCATTTTAACATTTGTATTCCGAAATACAATCTAAACAAAAATGAAACAAGGAAAGTTAGAAGCTTTGGCAATCCATTCAATTCATCACGTCAGAGCATCTGAGCCTAAATGAGATGATGTGAAGCCCTTATTCCCTCTGGCCGGCCCAATCTTTCCTACCCTCACCCTCTCTCTTTACCCATCTTTGATGTCACAAGTTAGACAAAGTTTCCATGGCTACACATTCCCTGAAGCTCTCTCTTCTGTCCTAGGTCTCTCTTCTGTCTTAGTGAATAATTTTTTTAACATTTATGCCGATAATTAAAATGATAAAAATTATCGGTCTATACCTTTATCAAATTTAGATCTCATCTATAAATGTGCAAGCTTCACAAAGGCATGTTCCCAACATCCAATAAAGCAAACTTTGTAAGGCCTTTATCCATTCTTAATTTGCCATAATTTTTAAAAAAGAGGGTCTTATTTTTTACCTTGTTTCTTAATAATTATATGATTTTATAATAACTTACATAGAAGTTTATTTTCAAATGCTGTATTTCTAACACTCCAGGAAATTCAGATGCATAACACCCTTTGGAACTGTTGACTTGAGAGGAGAAAAGCTCTCTCTGCTCAAAAAGTGTGCGACTGCTCATCTGAGTCCTTCCCATAAGATCTCAAATTCTCCCCTTCAGAACTATTTGATTAGACATACAGAGGTAGGAAGTATTTCCAGAAAGGTTTTGCTAAAATGATTGACCACATCGTATTTTAGAAATTATTTAAGATAAAAATGAGAACTAACACTCTTCCCTACCCTTTAACCCACTGACCCACTGGGAAAGACATTTATCAATTTTCGCTTTGAGAGGAAGGAGAATCTATCTATGAAAAAAATGAAAATTTGGACAAGTTACCACCTATGGGGAAGGACGCATATTAAGTGAGAGCAGTATCTAGGGAAGACTAACCCTTGTGGGCATCACACTAAAACCCGGGGCAACTCAGAGCACGCGCTGAGGTGAAATCTTTGGTTCAGGTGAAAGCGAGAGCCCTACAAAGGGAGAAGAAGGCTCCAAAAACTTTATTCTTTTGAATGAAAGAAAAGCAATGCAGAGAAAAGCTTTTCTGCCTCACGGTACACCCTGTACATTCTCCCCCAGTGAATGATTCCAGCTTCTGGACGTCCACGGGATGTAGCCTTACTTGGAGATGGGGAAACGTAAAAGAGAAAAGTAAAAAAGATACTTTGCAAACACCTAAAATACTTCCAGACCCGCTTCTCATGACAACAGGAATTCCTTTCTTAGGAAAAAGTCTGAAAATACACAACGTATAAAACATAAAATACAAATCCTAATCCCAAATATATTCCCCAAAAGTCATTTTTTAGGGTAATGTATGTCTATAGCTGCGTTAAGGTACCAATGTAAAGTCTCAGTAGTAAAGAGGATTAGGAAAAGATAGATTTATCCAATCTGGAAGAAAAATATTAACATTGGAGAAGAGCATTTCGGTCAGTTGTGTAGAGAAGCCTGGACAATAGCCTCAACTTATTAACAAACTAATCCTGATACCAAAAAACAGTTGAATGTTGACATAACAGAATACACTCCAAAACTTAGGTGTCCGTTCTTAGGAATGTAAACGTTGAAAATCACAGTCAGGGCATACATCAGTTAATATTCAAACCACTCAAACCAAATTTTTAGGCTTAAAATTTAAAAATTACCAATTTTTTATAGTGCACTAATGATTTCAGAAGTATAAAAAGCATTTCCATACTTTATTTTTTACTATGACAATGAAATCACTGTATAATGTTGGCATGGTACGTAAGCAATACTCAAGCCCAGGCAGGTTTTTACGTTAGGTTGTACTCTATACACATGTTTCTTGAAACTTTATGGAATCAAAATTATGTTGCTATATTTACCATCTTCCTCAGTCAGTACGCTGATGGGGACACTCCGAACACCTTCACCTTTGAGGGTACTAGCAGATACTTCAATCAAATATTGGGTATATTTCTTTAGTCCTAAATAGAAATAAGATATTACATTGACAGGTAAAAAATCATTTAGTAGCATACAAAAGACAAACTACAAAACACCTCTCAACTCCACAATCTTCCAAAAATAAAAACTAAATGATAATTCAGTTCTTTGCCAATAGTAACTCTCATTATGAAGACGAGATGATATAGGCTAATGTAGAGGTGGATTAACTCAGAGGACTCTTTCATGTGGCCTGCAATAGTCTCCTAGATTAGTTAACCAAAAATACAGAATTGCCATACTTTGTGAAAATAATTGCCATGAAGCCTTTTATAACATAACATTAAGCTAATATATTATTCCCACACTTCAATATAAAAGTTTATACCCAACATTAGATTTGATGTTTTACCTTCGATGTTTTGGGTTAACGAGGTTGTATTTATAATTCTTTCCTCATTTCCATTACTTCTCTTGAGATAAATTGTATATTTTTGTATGATTCCATTGGGACTATTTGGGGGAAGGAATGATAGTTCGATCTCTCCAGAAGATATATTTTTGTAGGTAATATTTTCTGGTGCACTATCAGGTACTGGAAAAAACAAAAATATATGTATAAATGTATAAAACAATTCCATCCTACACTCCACTCTTCTGAAATTCTCACAATAGTGCACTATTACTGATGTGTGAACATTTACTAGGGTGTGGCGGATAAACATCCTAAATATAGTGAGATGTAGATAAATTATATCCCAAACATATAAGAAAATATTTTATTCAAAAGAAAATGCATATCATGGTTCTACAGAACAACACTTTTATGATGTTATATTTATTAAAAGATTGAAACCATAAGAAGCGATCTTGTATTGAAGAACATACAGATGCAAGAAAGAGAATTTAAAACACTTAAAAATGGAGTCTTCCCTCCACGAGTTATAATATAAAAAGGTCAGTAGGTTAGTTTTGGTCCCTAACAAGGACCGTGACAAAATAGAAACCCCTGCTAGATATGAGGCTGGCAAGTATGATGTAGCAGCAAAATTGTCTCCTGAGGATCCAGGATATCATTAAATA